GCGCCCCCTGTGCGCACGCGCGGGGCAGGGCGCGGCCTGCGCGGGCCGGGAAGGGTGGCGGCTGTAACCGAGCGTGAGCCGCGGCCGAGTTGAGGCGGAGACCGAGTGGAGCCGAGACCAGCCGAGCGGATCCGAACCTGAACAGAACCGAGTCCAAGCACAGCCGAGCACGAGCCGGAACCYGCCGAGCCGGAACCGAAAGGAGCCCGAGCGGAGCCGAGCCCCAGCTCGCCCCTTCCCCTCTGCGACACTGCACACTGATGGTTTGGGTTCCTTTATTTTGTCATTGCTTTTGTTGCCAACATTGATTTGTTTGGTTTTGTATTTGTTCTTAACAGAAGACCCTGGACTTCACTCACATGTGCTACAGGTTCTGTAAGACCTGTTATATATTATTAGCCTGGGTACATTTTTTTATTCGCCCCACTGTACTGCACAGCCTGAGGCATGGGGACTCTGACTGTACCCACCCTGCAGTCAGAACTAAATGGTAGGAGGATGGTAAAGCCACAAAAACCAGCAGAGACATCACAACTCAGGTTCACACCTCTCACCCTTAGCTCTTCCCAGGAAAATAGAGGTTTGCCAGCTGCTAGAGACTGCACAGGATAACAGGAGCACATAAACAGACCTGAGGATGCATTCACAAGGTGACGGTAATAGCTTTAATTTTAAAATACTCCTTTATGCAACAAGGCTATACTTCTTTGATTTTTCTCTGCGCAGACTGATGATATGCTGTGAAAATACCTGTATGTGCTGGCCTGGGATGGAACAAGAGAACACTCTTCTCAAGCATCAGTTRCAGCAAAAACACACTGAAAAAACTGCAATACAAGGGTTGGACAGAGAAACGTTTTCCAGAGGTTTCTCATCAAAATTCAAAAGTTTTCAAAGAGACTCTAAATCTTTTTAAAGAGGATTGGAGACTCTGGATCTTAAAAGCCAATTTAAATTTGTCAGCGKTCCCTGGCGTTTTCCATACTTTTTGAAGTATCTGGCCTTTACTGGAGAAGCTCAGAGCTTCTTCAGAATCCTCCTTGCAGCAGAGAATCTTGCCGACAGGGAAAATCCATAATGGATGAGAGCAAGATAGGGGAGGACACTGGAACTTGCAGAGAGGCTGTAAACAACTGCAGGAAAGGGCACACGAACCCTAGAGGTCAGACATGATTCATACTCAAAAAACATTTTATCTTCACTGTATTTACCAGTTGGACTCTGCTCAACAGACATTCAAATACTTTATTAAAAATATCTTTAAAAGGTTCAAAAATTGGTATCGTATCTTTTCGAAGTCTCCTACCTTCTAGAAAYGTTTATCAGAAGAGGGGAAGGCATGGGACAACACACAACAGAACAGTTTGCTTCAAAACCATAAGGAATCAGACTGAAAAGTCGATTACATGTAAAGACCCATCTTCCACTCCAGTGCAAAGACCCCAAGAACTCATGTCAYGCTCAGGTTCCTTGGGAGGCTTTTCAAATTCATAACAAACACTTTATTTCCATTATAGTGTTCAGATCATGAGGCATAATTAAGATTTTAGCACTGCAGACTCAGCACCCTTACAGAGACTTATCTGCTTCAATTATCTGACAGTTCACAGCCACTATACATACCCTGAGTGTCACACCTGGGTTACTCCCAGTTTCTCCTCACAGCTCTTTAGGTGGCTGTTCTGACAGATGAGCTGTTAATTGAACTGTTGAGAGCATTAATTATGCCCTTTCCTAGCCCTTGAATACTAAAGGTGTTTAGTTTTTGTACTGAATTGCTGACAGGAGAGAAAGCAAGAGGAACCCCAGACCATGAAGTGATTTAAAGAAGAATTACCGACCCTGACACAACTCGAATCCTCTTATCCATTTCATTCACTGCTCCCTGTCTAATTCCCTGTTCCTGTCAGGATGCTTTCTCCACACTGCCTGTCCCTTGGAGGAGAAGAAGCACAAGAGCTAATTCTGTTCTTGGGGCAGCACAGCCATGAGAAATTCCACCTAAGAATTCCATCTGTCAGGAAGGCTAATGAGTCTAATGACATATGCCTGAAAACATTGTCATTTTTCATTAATTCACTCAGTTTTATCCCCATGGTCTTTTAGGCCAAAGGACTGCAATTTGCTAATAATTTTGAGAAAAAAAAAAAAAAAAAAAAAAAAAAAAGAGAAGAAAACTTCCAAGAGGGTCTCTATTCTGGCCACTCCTGCTCTGCCTCAGATGAAGATTACAAAAGTGCTTTGGAAGATTTCAAAACCAGTTTTAAGAATTCAGCAAGTTACAGCTACTGGAGTGACAAGTGAAAAGTAAGGCTAATTATAATGGGAGAGATTAATGTCTCAGGCAAGTTACAAACATCTGCCACCTTGTATGAACACGGAACACAGAGCTGAGACAGTAGTGATGTYCAAATTTAGGAAGCTGCTCTTCCTAATTACTTCCATTTGAAGACATTGCTCTCAAGTTTTGAGAAACAGCACACAAGCGAATTTTAAGAACAGAGATGCACTCTTCCATGGTCCCCATAAAATCATCACCCTTCAAAATCAAGAGAATTAGTTTGCTATCAAAACTGTAATTAAAAGCCAGTCCTGGACAATACACATTGCTTTGTTTATGAAGTTTTTCTGTGGCATGACTATCACCAGAAACAAAAATCTTCATTCTTCTATTGGTATTTTGTTATCATGGGAATTCTATTTTCAAATTCAATTCATAGATTTATTGCATACATTACTATGCATTAAAGTAGTTCAGTATAAAACAAGACAAATGCAATAAAATAAAGCCATTCAGTCTTGTAAGTCAAGAGATCCTCTCACTTGGACTTGGGCTACAGTTTAAGAGTTCTTGTTAAACAAGCATGGTGAGTCTTGTACAGCTGCAGATATGGAGTATACACCATACACCAAGAACTGAAGCAAAATCGAGGGATATATGAGTTTTACATCCTTTGACAAAGTACTTTGTTGGAAAAGTCTCATCTTCTTTCTTTGATGTTTATTCTGGATAAATCACCTTCTGTGTGAGAAGTRCATCCAGCCTCCAAGCTTAGGAAAGTAACATGACTAAGATCACGTAATATTAAAAGCACAAGTAGTCCACTACAGTTCTCACCACCTTCCCACAGAAAGGTTGAGAGAGAACTGACACAGCCTGTGAAGCACTAATCTGTTTTATCTTCATCCTCTGCAGCATAAATAGCTTGGTTCCTTCTCTTGATTTTTTTAATGCCACTATTCCCRTTTTCATCACCACCAACACGCTTTARTGACCTCTCAGTGGAGCTCTTTTCCTCCACCTGGTTGCTGCCACCAGACTTCTCCAGTTCCTCGTTGTTGGAGTCCATGGCATCATCAGATGACACTGCCATGGAGTCTGGCATGATCCGGATGTCAGAGAAGCTCATAGAGAACTCAGGAGGGTGATCAGGGGAGGGATCTACAGAACATGTACTCAAGTCTTCATCACCACCTTCTTCATCCAGCATTATTTCATCTGGATTAAAGGAGGAGAGGCCAGAATTATCTGTATTATATTCACTGGGTTCCTCTGCTGACCCAGTACTGTCCATTTCCTCCCCCTCCTCCTCTTCACATTCTCCTCGTCGTGAGCCCTCTTCTTTAGCCTGCTGGATCCTGTCATTGATGTCAGTGAGGCCAAACTGGGCACAGAACTCAGTGGTCTGTGGATTGATGGTGTGAACTGGCTCCATGTTTTTCTGGGGCTTGTTGGGATCATAACAAGCAGCTGTCAATGTGAAGTTACAGGGAATTTTGAGGTCATGGTTCAGCTCTTCTAACACCTCTTTGATGGCTTCTTCTGTCGCACTGTAATCCCACCTAAACAAGTACATAAAGTTAAAACAAGTGCTATTAGTTAAAAGGTACTGCCTGTTACCACTGCAGAGAGCAACCATCAAAGGTGTGTTATAAATTCATTTTACAACAGACACCTAGTTCCTCAAATGCTTTTTCAAGGTTTTTATTTTCCCTTGGTCAGTRCTGAGACATCCCTCTCCCCATCAAGGATTTGTGTATCATGACAACCCACCCCATAACCCAGCCTAATTTTCAGCCTCACAGTGTAGTTTCTGTCCCTCAAATGCTGGTATCTAAGTTTGCAAAACAAAACAAACTGCCCAGGTAGAGCAGTAAAGAAGTTCTATGCTTTAGAGTACATCTTTTGTCAACATCCCCTTTGCTTTCCAAGGCATTTAGTAAGCCCTATAGGCATTACAGGCTGCAGAACAGAAATACAACTCCAATGTAACTTTACTTCCGGTCCAGAAAAACAAACAAGTAAGCAAACTACATTTTCCTCTCTGTTTTGCAGACAACTTACTTGGCATGGAGGCCATTCTTTTCAGGCATATTCCAGGTGCTCTGGGTCACATTAATAAGATTATTGGTGGCCTTGAGGACTGCAATCCACTCAGCATCGTACTCCAGAGAGTCGCCCGCATTGGGATCATGCTCCACATCTATTATCTGCTTACAAACACACAGAAAACACATGAGGTGAGTTATTTCTCTTGACACCAGGATCTGACTAAAGTTTCAAGTGTAATTTTCACTRTACAGAGTTTTAATGAAGTTTAAAGTACACTGAGCTAGTGGTCTCAATCAAACAAGTCCTCTCAAGCCAGCCCCCCATACGGGCTAACGAAAGACGATCAGTAACAGTAAAAAAGGCATTTCTGAATTTGAGTTTACAGTATTAAAAAACAGAACACACTCCCTCCCTACTGCCAGCAACCAGTGATGTMACTTAGAAATAGAATTTGGCTGCTCCTAAATTCATGCTGCCTTCTCAGTGGATACACACAAAGAGTAGATAGGAACAGTCATTCTGCTGTATGAACACATACTCTTAGCACAGCAATGAATTATCAGGAAATGTTTTTAAACTCTTTCCTGATGAATTGAAATTCAAATCACTTTGTCTTCAGTGACACTAACCCAAATCAAACTATTTGGGTTAGCCAAAGCCCTACAGGCTCTGACTGTAAATGCTCCAAAAAGTTTTAAACCCTCAATGCTGTTGGAGGTGGTACTAATCCAGATCGGTTTTGCTACAGGATTTTAAGCCTGAACTAGCACTCTGTTTGCATAGATWAAGCCCATCCTCATACTCTCTTCCATCTTCAAAGGTAATTACTGGGCAAATGGATCCCACCACACATCAAACAACAATTAACCACTTCTCCTTGGGGATGATTAAGTCTAGTAAAACACTTSACTGCATTTGAAGAATACATCGTTAGCAGCTCACTCTCACAGCAAACTATTTTAGATTCACCCACTGAAATCAGGTACTTGTTCTAATGTCAATGGAAATAGTAGGATTAAGCAAACACTGCAGCTACACAACACAGTCTACCTATTTCAGGACAAAATTATACAAWAACTGTTCCACACACCCAGCATTCCTAGTTTCTTTAAAATTCCTCCACTTATCACCACTGTTCTTYRGCTTATATAAAAGAACAGCACTAGMAGTTCAAACAAATTAAACACTTAAAGTGAAAACCCTCTGCACATGTTCATCACCTGCAGGAAGTCTCTGTGTGGCARGCATTTATCCAGAGCCAGAAACTTGGTTGCTTTTGGTAGCTCTTCTTTGGAGTTTGTCTAAGGACGAAAACGGTGTTAACACAGTCATTAGCACCTCTGTGAAATTTGACCATTCTAAACAAGTTGTATAGACAGGTTTAAAAGGTATAATTTCTACAGAAAAACACTTTCTGAAATAGAAARTTAGGAGGGACAAAGAGAAGGACAGAACTTGACTGGGAGTCTAACAGGAAGCAGAATGCAGGTGACTGGTAGATAAAGCAAGAGCTGCATTTCAGCACTAACCAAAGYAGCTGAACACAACCAGCCGTGGAGCAAACGAAAAAACTGTAACTTAATTRGAAACAGACTTGTTGAGCCTACAAGGCCTGGAGTTACATTTTTTACAGGTAAATAACTCGCTTACAAGAACAGCACTGGTACCACTTTCAGGGATAACTGCTTCAGCTACAGGCTGATTTTTGGCTTAATCCGGGCTAGCAGCCCTGCAAAACTGTAATACAGGGATCCTCCCACCCCCAGGTATCCATCCACTTCAGTCATTCCTTTATCATTCCTTTTGTGACAAGGTTGTCTCCTTTTTATCACCTATTTTGAAGTTATCTCCTTCCACAACAGAGTAGGAGAGTGCTTTTCTATACAGTTAAATTAACAAATTTCAAGAGTAATAGCTTCAGCTATTTCATGCCTTTCTGAAAAAGGTTAGGGAGTTACACCCCTCATTTATAACACCTCTTTAATTTACATAAACTACTAGTCCTAACACCACTTAATTTTTTAAAGCTTAAGCTGAGTTTTAAGAACAAAAGCCACTAAATTCCTTTTCTGGACATGATTACAAGCACKAGGATTCTAAAGTGTGCCTGGGACACATCGATTCTCCATTTTCTTTCCCCCTTTACCTCGTGTTGCATGAAAGCTGCAAATTTAACRTGGAGATGTGCTGAGAACCAGTAGGCAGGCTTCAGGTGCTGCAGAAGCTCTGAAGCAGCAGGGCTTCCCAACGTGTTGCTCTCCACTTCTTGACGGAAGAAGGATTTCATTTTGAGGAGCTGTTTCTTGTTTCCATAGTGATAGATGCTCCTTGGCCAGTCATGTGACATAAATATATCGATGGGACGCTTTAGCTGTCAGGCCAAAAAGCACATGGCATAACTACAACACATTCACAAAGGAGTTTAGAAATTACTTGGGGCAGCCAGCTGTGTTTTATACTGCCTCATAAAAGGGTTCATGGCATCACCATAAATCAGGCACTCAGGAAATCATACCTAGAGAGTAAGTTCTCTGCCCACAATCAAAGGCATCTTCTTCCTCATGAAATTTTTTTAAAGCTTTATTTAAAAGGGATAATGGCTAACCACCATATTCCTCCTCAGATCAATGTGTTAAAGCATGATTTGGTTCAGTATCCAACACAGTTGATCTGAATAGCTTTAACTTCCTACTTCTAAATCAATGAAAAATACCATTGTTTAAAAAATAGGCTTTCCACTGACCTGTTTTAGTTTGAAGACTTCAATATTCCTCACGTGGTAAGCACTTCTGATGGTCTGCTGGTTGTATGGTGGGCACTCAAAGTGRCCTGAAATGTTGAAAACAACAGTAGTTGCCTGAATCACTAGTTCCCTCCTACATTGTTAGCAAAGCAGCTTTTTGGGTCATACAGACATTTAACCWCAAATACAAGGCTGTGAGTTTTTGTGATTGTTCAAAGTGCTGCCACCCATCATGAAACTACAGTTYAACAGGTTCAGCAGCAGCCTAAACATCCCTGTCACTGCCCACAGGCATCACAGGCTCCGGAAGCATAAGCATGTACCCTGACAAAAGGSAGGAGTTTCCAACTTTGCCTTGGGACAAGAAACATGAATGCCTAGCATAACTCCTACATACTCTACAGAATTAACAAAAAAAAAAATGCCTTTTTAGTTATTGCCAAAAGAGTCTTRTCTAATCTCCCTCAGGTAATACTCAGGCATACAAAGTGTCCCCCTGATGACAGCAAATTTAGTTAGCATTGACAGAATCAGGTGTCCCAGAAAACTGGTTCAGTACTTTGCAGCTTGAAAACCACCTGCAAAGCTTCTCTGAAGCTGTTTGTTAGTAAAGACAGCACAGTACAGTAACCASAAGGGCCACTCTTTCAATTGCTGAGATCAGAAAGAATAAACTATCTTCTACTCACTGTCATGAGGTACCATCTGCGACAAGATGTTTGCCACCCTTCCCAGGAAGAAGTCTTAAATACACACCCACATAACCAGGAGGAACCACATGTACTGACCTTAAACCTCCAAGAAGGATAACACACTTATATAGARTCACAGTTATAAACTGACTGTTTCACTCAAGGAAAGCCTAACAGTGTTGCACTGCACGCTGAAAGGACACTGCCATGGAAAAATCAACACTGTTCCAACAGCGTTCCAAAGGCACCTCACTTCCGGCTGTGGTCACCGGGCAGCTACAAACTCATGTACCAACTCCAGAAAAATCCCTGCATTGAGCCAAGGGAGGTGTCCAGGCTAAGAAACAGTTCGGGGCTGAGCACAACCAGACTCTCCCCACCCTCGCGCTCCCCCGGTACCTTTCCGGTAGTCGTGAGACTTGAAGATGCCCGAGATGCCACCGATCCTTACGCCGCGGAACCGCACCACACCCGCGTAACCTGCGAGACACGGGAGGGCGGTCACGGCGGGGCCGAAGGGGCTGTGGGAGGAATCGCCGGAGGGCCGGCACTGGAGCGGAAGGACCTTACCGAGGTAGTAGATGTTGGGCGCGACCCACCCGCCATAGGGCAGCTCCTGGAGATGGTTGGAAGCCTCGTGGTTGCCGCCGATGAACACGGTGAGCACCGGGGCTTTCTTCTCGCCCGAGTAGTACCTGGGGAGACACGGCAGCTGCTGCACCCGGCCGAGCCCCCGCGGGTGGGGCCGGGACCGGGACCGGGACCGGGACGGCGGCACTCACCGGTAGAAGGTCTGCATGTGCCGGTACTTGGCCGGCACAGCCATGCAGTGAAGGTCCGCCTCATTGCGCACGGCCTGGAAGTCCCCGCAGCAGAGCAGCAGGTCGGGCCGCACGTTGTGGCGCCGCTGCAGCAGCTCCAGCGTCTCGTACATCTTGTCCAGGGCGCCGTGGCAGCACCCGGCCACCGCCACCTTCATTGCCGCCGCCGCCGCAATGAGCGGGCGCCGCGCGCACCTTGCACGTCACCTCCCCGCGTGACTTTGCGTCACTGCCGCGCCTGCGCCGTGAGGGGGACGGGACTGAGGGACAAGCACCGCCCACGGGCCCGGGGGACACAACGGGCTGGGGACACAGGGACCYGGGCCCGCCCCTTCATCACCCGCTGCTCTGGGGAACCCTGCCCGGTCACCTGCCCTGGTCCCSTCCCACCCTACCCGAGCAGGGAGGTCGGACACCGTGACCTCTGGCGATCCCCTCTAGTCTTCCCCGTTCTGGGGCCAGCCGTTGGAATGGGCTGAACGGGAAGGTAGTGGAGGTGTTCTGGAGCGAGTTCAGAGCAGGGAACGGAGCTGGGGAAGGGTCAGCAGTCTAAGAGGAGCAACTGAGGCAGCTGGGGAGGTTCAGCCTGAAGAAAAGTAGGCTCGAGAGGACCTTTTTGCTCTCCACAGCTCCCTGATAGGAGGGGGCAGCCGGGAAGGTGTCGTTTTCTGGTCTCAGGAACAGGGACAGGACAGGAGGACGTGGCTTTAAGCTGCAGCAGGGGAGGTTTAGGTTGGACATTAGGAGACATTTCTTCATGTAAATGGTGATTAGACACTGAATAATGGGCTGCCCCAGGGAGGTGGTGAAGTTCCCGTCGCTGGAGGTGTTTTAGAAAAGACTGCACGTGGCACTCGGTGCCCTGGTCCGGTTGACAAGGTGGAGATCAGTCACAGGTTGGACTCGATGATTTCAGAGGTCATTTCCAACCTGAGTGATTGACTGTTATTCTGTAAGTGGCCAGTGGGACCTTCGCAACGGGCATTAACATGGGCACAGTCATGAGTACCGCGGTCCGTGACTGGGCAGGAAGGCTCTCGCCCTCACGGAGTGGGGTTGTACAGCGGGGCAGGAGTCCCTGCGGGGGTACCTGGGCTGCACAAGGAGCGCTGCCCGCTCCCCGGCACCACAGCACCCGTCGGGCACTGCCCGCACCTCCTGGGTCAGCCCTGTGGGGAGCAGCACAAGCTGTACTTGTCCCTCACTGCGTGGCTCGGAGACCAGTAAGTGTTGGTGGAGCAGCAGGAGCAGTGGCTGTGCACGCTCTCAGCTGGCATGTGTTGATAAAACAGYGACTTAGGGGGGCCAGTTCAGCATTAGACAGGCGTGTTTTTAGCGTAGGCAAGCACTGGCTTCTGTCACTTTGTAGCACACAAGGACGGGAACAGCCAGTGACTATCATCGGGGCAGGCGCGTAGGAGGCGAGGTCAGAAATCGGGCATCTCCCCTTCTCCTTGCGGACTGACGGGCTCCCTCTTTGGAGGGCACTGATTTCCTGCTTCGGAAGGGCGGTGGATTGGATTGTAAGGTGGCCGTGTGTGTCACGTAGTAAAGCCGCTCCAGACTTTTTCCACTTTAAGACTGGTTTGGAGGTTTTTAAAGTCTTGGGATGGAACAAAATTGCAAGGACATAGTTAAGCATTAACTTGCTACTGCTTCCCCTGTAATCATGGAACCAAGCAGACATTCCTGTTTCCCCACGGTAGCAAGCATTACATAATGGCCTCTCTTTTGATACTAAGAAAATATGAATGTTGTCTCCTACATTTCATAATTCACAGTGTTGCATTACTCTGTGTTCTTTGGGGCTCATCCAAGCCCAGCTGAAGTGAAGGGGAAAGTTCCTCTGGCTTCCAAACTCCACAAGTCTCCAAGGAGAAAGCACACAGGGGAGCGCTCCTGGGGTGCACTTGGTTCTTTCACTAACTTTGCTGAGACCTATGTGGCATAGTGCAAGAACTCATCAGTCCCATACCTCTCCTGGGAAAGCTTTCCAGCTCTCTGGGGAAGAACAGCAACCTCTCCCATTTGCCATGTCTCAGACTCCCTGAAAGGAAGTGGTGAGACAGACAAGGTCCATGAGTCTCTGGAAGATACCACCCTACCCAGGGTACATCATCTCGAGGGGCTTTCTGAAACATCTGCCCACCCAAATTCATCTCCAGCTGAGCAAGGTAAATTGATACTGTAATTGTATTTCCTGAGTTTGTTGGCTCAGGCTCACTTCTACTCTATGTGCCACGTATCCCAAGCAAACTGGGACAACAGAGTCTATAAAGTGGGGCTGTTTTAATGTTGTAGCACTTTAGTATTTGTATACTATTCATGATGCATTTCAATATCCATAGTTTAACTTGGAGTGTTCACGGAGCAAAACTGCTCTGACCTTTCCAGAGCACAAAGGGAAGCAGCCATGCTACTGTTAACAGGTAAGTGGCAGCAAGTTAATGCTTAACTACATTGTAATTTTGTTTGGTCCGTCAAGACTGTTTGAAAACCCACGACTGAAGCATAGCTGTCTTCCAGCACATGACTGACCCATGTTTGGCCTTGGATCGGGTTTTGCAGTCACAGTCCCTTGCCCCAGTTGCTGTGCATGTGTCTTCTGCTTGGATGTCCTGTCCTGCAGCAGAGGACCGAGTGCACATCCTGTCCTGCACAAATAGCCAGGGAACTGTGAGGCCAAGGAGGGAAAAGCCCCAACAAGCAGGCTCAGGTCAGTGGATTGCTTGGATAGGAGGTATTTGCCCTTTCAGATGTTGCCTGCCCGCACTGATCAGTGGGTAATGTTTTCTTCATGCAGTAGTTTAGTGCCATGAAAGTAGTTTTCCTCTCCAGAGAAATGAAGAATAAAGGCATCTGAAGGGGCTGTGGATGACAGAATTGCTTCCCTCATCTCTGAGAATGGAATGAGAGGAGCTTTTGAAGCCTTTTCTGTCAAGAGCTTCCTAGTGTTTTAGAGTGTACCAAAAGATCTCTAGCAAGATTTATACAATGCTAAAATGAAGAGGAACAGCAAAAGGGAGGGAGRCATCTGTGTTTGACTTTTGAGGAGGGATAGCATGGCTGAGAAGAAAGGTACAAGGAGAAGTGCTGGGAGACAGTGTTTGTGAAGGAGAGGAAGATACACTGGAGTGCAAGAGACAAACCGGATGTGTTCCAGCTGAGATTTTGAGCTGCCCTGTAAGCTATGAAAGCATGTGAAGTGGCAGGTTGGTGTGCAGCTGAAGGGARGGGCTGCTTCAACCAGACAAGTCTGAAGCTCCTTTAGGAAAAGGCCCCAAGAGATTGGCCTGAATATCACATGGCTTACCTGCAGCTATGCCCAAGTGTCTTTGGGCACCTCCTCCCCTAGATCGTGTCTGATGATTGCAACACAATCTGCAGTGCACCAACACAGCTGCCAATGCCAGCCTGTTGGGGCTGAGGGCTGCAGCTGCCTCCCTCTTCGAGCTGCACCAACAGGACTCTTTCCCTCTTAATTTGTACCTTTTGCCAGAGGACACTGCTTTGCCAGCGGGCACTACTGATGGCCTACAGGCAACAATGGGCTGGAAGTCTGCTGGAGGAAGGGAGATTAAGCAACCCTGAGTAAATTTGCAAATGACACCAGGATGGTTGGGAGCATTTCTCTGCTCAAGGGCAGGAAGGCTCTGCTGAGAGACCCAGACAGACTCGATCAAAGGGCGGAGGACAATGGCATTAGGTACACTAAGGCCAAGTGCCACATCCTGCACTTGGGGTCACGGCAGCCCCCTGCAGCTCCGCCCCCTGCAGCTCCAGCTCTGGTGAGAGCTGTTCAGCAAGAAGGGACTCACGGTGCTGGTAGACAGCAGTTGGATATGAGCCAGTAGGATGGCCAAGAGGGCCAGTGGCATCTTGGCCTGTACTGAGAGTAGTGTAGCCCAGCAGGACYAGGGAAGACATTCCTCCCCTGTACTCGGCATCGGTGAGGCTGCACTACATTCAGTTCAGCGCCTTTCACCTCTAAAAGGACATTGAGGGGCAGGAGTGCATCCAGAGAAGGGCAACAAGGCTTGGGAAGGGTCTAGGAAACGTGTCCCACGTGGAACAGCTGAGGGAGCTGGGTTTGTTTAGCTTCGACAAGGCTCGGGGGAGCGGGTGGGGCTCATCGCTCTGCACAACTCCTGAAATGAGGCTGTAGTGAGGGGGGCCGGTGTCTGACGTGCCTGCAGTGAGACGATAGGAGGAAACAGCCCTAAGGCGAGAYAGGGGAGATTCRGATTAGCTATTAGAAAAAAAATTCACTGCTTGGGCGGTCAGGCATTGGAATAGGTTGCCAGGTAGGTGGTAGAGTCGTCGTCCGCGAAGGTGTTCAAGAGGCGTCTGGATCAGGCGCTGGCTGATGTGGTGTAGTGGTTTAGGGGTTACAGTGGCAGTGCTGGGTGCGTGGTCGGACTGGCTGATCCTGGAGGTCTCTTCCAGCCTTGACGACTTCGTGATTCTCTAATCACGGGGTGGCATTCCGGAGGGGAAAACAAAACCCGCCGTCCGCGATGGCTGGTGAGCCTGTACAGCGGGGACCGGCCGTGAGGCAGCCCCCGGACTCTCCGCGGCGCCCCGAGGCTCCTGAGGCGGCCCGCGGGTTCTCCGAGGCGGGGCCCGCCTCCGCCCGCCGCCCCCCCGGCCCGCGGCGCTGGGCGGGCCCGGCCGTGCGGAAGGGGTGGCTGGGGCGAGCGGCGGAGCGCGCCGGGCGGCGGGAGCGGCGCTGGGCATGGGACGGGACGGGGCGCCGCCCCGGCGGGTACGTGCGAGCGGACGGCGGGGGCTGGGGCGGGGGCTCGCCCCGTGCGGGGCAGCGGTCGGTGCCGCGGCTCCCGGCGCTGGGTCGGGGTCCCCGCGGGGCCCGGCGGCGGGGGCCCCGGGCGGTGTCTGCGGGTGAGSAGCCGGCGCGGGGGTCGCGGTGCGGGCGCTGGCTCGGTCCGGGAGGGGCTGGAGGGGTGCGCTGAGGACGGCGGGGCCGGCGGTGCCGGGCACACGCGGGAGGCGATGCTCGCYCCGCACCGGCGCTCCGTGCTGTCCGGGGCCGGGGCTGTGAGCTGTCCCCGCGGAGTTGTCCCCAGGGGCTGAGGCGTAGCAGGTTCTAAGCACAGCGTGTTCCCAGCTCGGAGGTGTTGGCTGCTGAGAGCTGGAGGTTAACTCCGGTGAGGGATCCTCAGGCTGTTCTTTTTCTGTGACCGCTTGCCCCAGCACCCTGGGTAACTGGTCCTTCCTTTATCTTCGCTGTAGCTGTGAATGAATACGTGGTCGTGAAAGTAGGATTTAATTTTTTTCCCCGACRTTTTTCTTCACGAGCAAGAAAGGGAACAACTTTGGCTACCAGACTCCGTGGTTCATGGGCAGATGAATTCTAGATAAAGTTGAGCATAAACTTGTAAAACTGAGATTRAATAACGAGTGGAATGATTTATGAAGGAGGTGTTCCTGCCGGAGTAATTCTCTCTGCAGGTCATCAGACAGCGTTGGTCTCAAGTAATGTAAATATTTTTAAGCCTGGGACTAATTATATTACCTCTGTTTTTTTCTGCTGCAGAAGGAAACCCTGGGAGTTGTGCTGCTCTGTGCTCCCATCTTTGCAGAAATTCGGGCTAGGGAAGGATTCCAGAGGCAGGTAGTCCCCCAGGCTGTTTGGTGCTCAAATGCTGCCTGTAAGGCAGGGCATGTTTTTCTTGGTGGTGGTCTCATGGCTTTACCTCACATGATGTGATGCCTGCTTCAGGAAATAACTCTTCTGAGAATCTGCTGAACCATTTATTTACGTCACTTTCTCTCTTGGTTGTTTTATGTCAATCTCTCCAGCTTGGCAGGTCTGCTAACTCAGGTTGTGTAGGGGGAGGTTATTTTACTGAGAACTTTCAGGAGATTGTCAGTACTGYTAGAATTAGTTTTGTAAAATTATGTGTTTAATGTCTGCTGGATTCTGAGAAACTGAAGCAAGATACAGTGGTGGGTTGTTTGGGTTTTTTCCTAGTATWTACATATCTGGAAAGGGTAACACTGTTTATCAGTTGCAACTGATTTATATTTTCCTGAAAATGAAAGAGAAAAGTCGAAGTTCCCTGGTGGCACATGGCCAGTTTCCATTACCTAGACCTTTGCAACCACTGTCATGTGTCATATTATTTTGTACTCGTAATTTGCACAAAGGTGCAATATTAAAGGTAGCTATGAGCAAAGCTCCTCAAATTACAGCTGACTGATGTGTGACTGCCAAACACYGCAGAGATTCACTGGTAAAGCATCTATTTAATTTCCTTCAGCTGCAACCTGTGGAGCAGGTGATGAATAATGTGGCTCAGGCACTCAGAAAGCACTGTGGTGCAGTCCTGCGGTCTGACACTCACTGCTGGTAGCCCTGGAGGTATAAATATGATGCTGCACGGTGGAATTTGTTTTCCCTTTTTTTTTGATGGGTGGGGCAAGTGTTGGTTGGTGGTTTTTTGTTTTTAGTAAGGACCGTTCTCCATAGACAACTTTGCCACCGTTGAAATACACAGAAAACCTGACTTGAAGTAACTCYGAACTTGGCATGTCCTGGTGCAGGACAGAGGTTGCTCTGCCTTCATTGTGTAAATGTTTTCCAATACTGATTTGACTTAATGACTGCATGTTCTTCTTCCCCGTAAAACCAGGATTTCTCCTGTTACACGGAACTTTTCTGAAGGCTCAGTTAAAGCTTATATCCTGTGCTCCAATTCTGTCATAAACAAAAGCAGAACTGTCAGAGCAAAGCAGAACTGTGGAGGAAGGGAACTTTCTCATCCATAGTTAAGGTAGTTGAATGCTGCCACAAAGAACTGTTTTCATGGGGATTACAGGACAAGATTCTTCCAGCAGACTTCACTGTTGTATTTCCCCTGCTCCTATGTCCCTKGGTGTGTGTCATGGAATTTCTGAGCTAGGACTGCCAGGGCAGTTGTGACTGAGCAGGTGCTTTGCTTTGACCATATGAAACACTCCCTAATGTCACATACTTTGGAAAATCGGGGCTCAAGCACCAAAACTGATGTATTATTTTTGCAGGGTATAAGGAGGATAATACTGGAAAATATTACCAATGTTAATAATTAACTATGTTAACAATTAATCAGCRTTTGGTTAGCATGTGAATACTCTGCTGATGGAGAAATTAATAATTCTGAGTGTAGAATACTGTACAGGTAGGRTGCAGTAGGCAATACCTGAGATCATGCATGTAAAACATGAGCTAGTTAAAACTTACTTCATTTTAATGAATATGCAGCTTCATGAATGTGAACATGGCTGATCACTTAATGTGATGGAATCTTTGCCCTTATCTGGTTTTCTGTTTGGTTTTTTGGTTTTTTTTTTTCTGTGTGTATTGCTTGTCTTTTTAATCTGCTTCTGTTTAATTRCACAGGGAAAACAGAGGAATTAATGGAAGTTCTCTTTGTTTTGTAAAACTCCCTGGGTTAATAAAGACACAGAAGAAATTACTTCCTCTGTCTTACTGGGACATCAGGCAAGTTTTCCTTGGTAGAGGACAGGGAATGGAAAGGTTATGCTCCCTGAAATGGTGCGTGCTTTGATTGCACTGCTCTGTGTCTCTGGGGTGGCTTATGGAAGGCACAGGCACAAAAATCCGTACCAGTGCCAGACTTGTTGGATGCCAGGACATGCTGCACCTTTTGGTGTAATTTGTTGCATTTYGACAGCTGCCGCTGTTCCTAGTGTGAGAGGGAGGCTGGCAGGAACAGGCTTGTGGAAGGGATGGCTGGTGGGAATGACAGCTCTTGGCTCCTGGGACTGCACCTCAGAGGAGAGGCTGGGAATGCAGCACGGGGTCAGAGCTTTTCTGTGTCACTGTGCTTGTTGCTGATCCATGGAATAKCTGTAGTACTCCAGCTGGGGCCAGATATGGGCTAGGAGCCGAGGCTGCCGTGCAGAAATGGGCTGTCACGTTAGACAAAGAGAATTTTACCCAAACCTTGATTGCCTGAAGATTGCACTGACTCCAGTGTAATAGATGTAAGACCTAAAGAAGTYACACATGACAACAATGACAAATGTGTGAGCTCTGAATAGATGGGCAATGAATGAAAACATTTTTTTTGTTTTAGTTGTTAAATTAAAAGGGCTCTGCAGACCACTTGCAGATGGCTGGTCTGCTACAGGAGAAATTTAGCTGCCAAGTAAATTTCCAAAAATGGTTTCATGGAATCTGTAAATTGTAATTTCAATGTCAGCAAAAGTTAATGACCGAGGGGAAGCTGTCTTGGACACAAATCTTCCTTCCACTTAAATAAAATCACTTTAATTCATGTAAAGTGAGTGGGTACTTTTAATACTAAATTAACATTCCAGGGACAATAAATTTATCTTGCTAATATGAAATTATCTCTTTCCATATACGGTTATAAACARCCAGGAGACACATTACTTAATCAAGCAGCCTTTCTGACCTCTGCCCTGAGCCTTGCTAATTATGTGCTTTTGAAGCTTGTTCACCTCCAGTGTTTTACTGGTTGGTCACCTTATTTTCTTTCAATGTATCAGAGCTCAGGCATTAGGTTTTTTTTTTTACTTTGTGCCTTCAGCATGTTTGTGAATGTGTTGGGGTCTTGCTAAGTGAGCCAGGTTGGTAGTTCTACACAGACGTGGGGCTGGAACAATAATTAGTTGGCAAAGTATTTGTGTATAAGGGGTTGGCGTTRTGTGGAAAAATAGTGTGAGTTTTTACCCTCCTGCTGTCTCATCTGCCTAACTGGAAACCAGTCTCATGGGGCACAAATTCCTGTCTGGTCAGTTTTAGTTCCAAGACTGTGCAAACGGAAAGCTGAAGAAAGGTATTTCAGAAAAGCTGAAAAGGGTGACATCTTTCCTGGTACTGTCAACTCTCCTTCCCAGCTGATACCCCCAGTGGCAAGCTTTGCACGAGCCGTGCACTGGTGCTCCCCAGCAGTTTSTGTGTGCTCCTGTTCAGGGACTCTGTGCTGATGTTTGTGAAGGGGAAAGAGGCACTGGAATATTAGATAACCCGTCACTTAACCTGAAGAAGTTGCACTGAGTAATACTGCATTCACTAATACTGCGAGTCAGTATTTTAAAACAATAGATTGTAGTCTAGTGCCAGGTTTATTTTTAAAAATCGATGCAGACTATTATTATTATTGATACTAGTCCAGATTTTGAGTGCTGGGCTTGCCTTACCTTGCTGCTGGAAATGTGGAGAGTTTGTATTTAAATTAGTGTTGGGGGGTTCTTTTTCTTTAGGGTAAATCTACTGAACCAGATTTACCAGCGTAAAAACTCACTTCTCCGAGTGCACGGTGACTTCAGAGCAGTGTTAATGGTCCTGCCACGGCTGATGAGGCTCAAGGTCATGTCTGCTTGGAAGCCTGCCTTGATAAGTGTTCCTATTGCAGTGACCTCCACGGGTCACTGTGAGAATGCTGAAGTCCAGCTACAACTGCTCAAGTTCTATGCTCTGGAGCTCTTTGACAAGAAGGCATGAGAGACAAACAAACAAATATTCTGCTGTGTCTGGATTTTCAGAGATAGATTAACAAAGGACTTTTTAATGCTCCTTAAAGGAAATGAACTGCCATGGAGTAGGAGCATAGCTTTTTCTGTAATTGATACCTGGATAAAGTATAGGAAGTACTTTCAGCTTTTCTAGGGAAGAGTGATCACTCTTCACTCCTGGGGGGATCCGTGTTAAGGCTTGCATTGTCCAACACAGTTATAAATGGCCTGGAAAAGAGGCTGAGTAATGAAGTGACA